GAAGCAACAGAAGAATAACAAAACACACAGCTCGAAAAGGACAACGGCACAACAATTTCAAGTTCTTATGGCAAGGAAAAGTGTTAATACTTGGATCATGCAAGGCATCGAACATTGCAAGCATGCTGTATGTGCACCACATGCTCATGTATCAAAAACAGCAAAAAGCTGTCACGCGTGGGTTCATTTACCAAGCAATGTTGTACACTTTGTAGTCAAGTGCATTGGGTTATTAAAACAAGGAACTTGGGGTCCTTTTTTAATACATGGATCATCTTTCAATATTGCACACCCAAATGCACGACCAAGGAAAAGAATGGAAATTGTTGCAGCATGTGGACAACAACAACGACAAAGAAATATCAACAAAAGGACACCAGTACCACCAGCGTAGAGGCAGTAATGAATTTTCACAAGAACATTGGCTTTATTAGTTATTTCATGACTAGTGTAGCTAGTAATCATCGTGTGATATCAATGTTGAGTTCAATACTCGATTTTGGTAATAGGGTTAATGTAATTTTTAAATTTTATCACTTTCATAGATTAAGACCACCTGACAATGTATTTTGTTTTTAATTTTCTTTATATTAATAAAACGTAGCCCTAGACGCTTGCCTAGCGGATTACCAAAAAACCTTTAGCGACGGAGGCTGGAAATTAGTTTCATAGATTAACATCAATTGAGGTTTCATGTAAGTTGTTACTCACCTGGTATCATCAAGGATCCAAATAGTCATTCTCCTCAGCTGGAGGCTGGAAATTAGTTTGTTGCGCTAATACTAATTCTTTTATTTTCCTCAATTCTCTCATCTCATTTTCGAAGTTAGACAGACGATCCTTCAAAGACTGGTTTTCATTTTCAGTTGAACGTAGCTTAGCCAATAATTCAGTTTTTGAAGTAGTTCCCCCTTTCAAATCTTTCGCCTTTAATCCACCCCCAAAGCCAAATACATGACTACGACTTTGAGGTCCAAAGCATTTTTCTACAATCTCTATGTTAGGAAATGACGGTTCAGACTGCACCAATTCCTTGATTTGAGCCTACAAAGTATATAGAGAAATTTTTGTCAGNAATCTTTACGCCTTAATCACCCCAAGCCAAATACATGACTACGACTTTGAGGTCCAAAGCATTTTTCTACAATCTCTATGTTAGGAAATGACGGTTCAGACTGCACCAATTCCTTGATTTGAGCCTACAAAGTATATAGAGAAATTTTTGTCAGATCCCATAATAACTAAAAGTAAAGAACATGTTCAATTAACCAAACACACATGTTTCTCGATTGTTTCTGGTTCAATAAGTGTGTTATTCTTCTTGCGAGTCTCGAAGAAAATAGTTGCCAAATCTGGTGGTTTGCCATCTTTTTCGCCCTTTACATAAAAGTAAATATGTCAAATAACGTCTCATCAATATTAAGCAAAAATAGATTTGATGATAACACCTTTTGATAAATAATCTCTCTGATTGGCTTGCTACCAATATGATGAAGCATCTTCAACTTAGTTCTATTTGCTGCATTCCTGTTACTTCTCGCCTATATTTGAGTGACAACATTAAATCAAATGCTATAAATAAGTTATCAATTAAAATATCACTGTATAAAATAAAATTACATAATTAGGTATTATGTCAAACCTGAAAACTTTCTGTAGAAAAATGTTCCTTTACCAACAACTCCCATTGTTTTTTGTCTACCCCCTTGGGCACATTCTTAAGCCTCTTGGATTGGCTTACCCTTCACATATGTTGCATGCAATTGTCCTCTCCATTTGTTCTGTAACTCTTTCATCCATCCCATAATCTGATCGCGATGGATATCCATGTCATCACTCTCAAATTTATCCTGCAATACATCAAACATATATTGATATCCAATATGATCGCAGAAACTCCATGTGATAGAAGAAAACATAGTTCTACAATAAAGCTTGAATTAACAAATGCCTTAGCTTTATTTCAATTTTGTAAATAAAGCTACCACAGGCCAAATACTATATGAGATTTTTGAATTCCGATACTTGGATTATAAGCATGGACATAATGAAATTTTCCTGTTTCATACACAACCAAGGTGGTAAATTATAAGGAATAAGTACCACAGGCCAAATACTATATGAGGTTTTTGAATTCTGAAATGGATGGAATCCATCACTAGCAAGTCCAAGTCGAATATTACGAGGCTCAGCCGCAAATGAGGGATGAAGTTCATCAAATGATTTCCATGCCATTGAATCAGCTGGATGCCGCATTGTTCCACCATCAACCCTTTTATCATGATGCCATGTCATTAGAGAAGATGTCTTTGCAGACATATACAACCTTTGAAGCCTAGGCTTCAGTGGAAAATAATGTAAAATCTTTGATGCTATTTTTTTACCATTCTTATTATTCTTTGCTTCCCCGCTATGTTTATCTGTTTTCCATCAGGATGCACCACAGACTTTACAGGAATCAAGTAAATTATCTTCCTTCCAATATAGCATACAATCATTTATACAAGTATCAATTTTTTGGTAGGAAAGCCCAAGATTCCGAATCACCTTTTTTGCCTCATAATATGAATTTGGCAAATTCGCTCCATCAGGCAACATATCATCCATCAACATTTTTAATAACATTGTAAATGACTCGTTGCTCCAACGACCCATACTTTTTATGTGAAGCAATGTAATCAAAGTAGAAAGCTTTGAAATTTTCGAACTTTGGTATAGTGGCTTCTCGAAATCTTTCAATAGGCTGTAAAACATTTTGGCTTCAACATTTGGTTCTTCTTCAAGTAAATCATTGTAACCAACATCAGCAGTGCCTCCATCATGATTAGGATACAAATCCCTCAGCATTTCATGTATTTCATCCTCATCCTCATAATCATCTACTTCATTATCATCTTCAACTTCGCATTCCGACTGTGGCTCACCCAAAACTTCTCCATGATGATACCAAAAAGTATAATTTTGAATTATTCCATATACTTTCAAATGTATCTCGACTGTCTCACGTGTTCCTAATGTTGTGTTACAACATTTGACACACGGACATCGTATTTCATATAATTCTCCTGTTCTTCTAAAGGCATAATCCAAAAATTTTTGCACCCCAATTAAGTAGGATTCGTCAAGTCGGTTATCAACAAGTTGCATCCATCGTTTAATTGGTGCCATAATCGTGGATAGTAAATAGAAATAATATTTAAAAAATTAAGATCACAAAAACATTAAGATGCACGTTACTTATAAAAGAAAGTACTACGATGAACATTACTTGTTATTACACTTGCCAGACTCATCTTTATGACTAAACTTCCAACGATTTTACAAGAATGAAATAAATTACAAGTTGATATGCATAACATATAACTCACAATTGCTCAATAAAATGAGAAATTAAAACACATAAGACACTCTAACATTAAATCACTGATTTTTTTATCTTATCTCAATTGTACAAATTAATATGGACTTCACGCGCAACGCGCGTGTTCAGAAATTAGTATTATACTAAAAGTGGGAAGACCCAAAGTTAAAAGTTGATTTACAAATATACCCTTAAAAGTAAGTGGCAATATTGCCCATGAGTAAGAACCTGTCTTCTATTAAATTAAAATAAAAGAAAAAGATCAGTTGCATTGTTTCACATTCCAACTTTTCTCTGTTTGGTCCTATGAGCTTCTGCCGATTATAGTACTAACATTTATGCATAGTCTTTACTCACACTTTACTATACTATAAAAGCAGACACCAAAGTGTCAAATTACTTCATCTTTTTTTTATTTTCTATTCTTTGTTAGCATCTCCCTTTTCCCCAGAAGAACATTCTCTTTCTGTTTTCCTTTTGTAATTTCGCTTAACGCCCATGTAAAGAAATCTCAGTGAACTTATGGTGGGCTGCGTTATTGCTCTTCAATTAGTTTTCCCCCTTTATTACCCAATTATTATTGTTATCTTCACCATATATGTGATCAAAGGAAGTTTCATTGTGCCGTTATTTAAAGGAAACTCAGTATATATATTTTTAGACTATAATTTATATGCCTGCGATCTTAAATCTGATCCACTTATTCTTGATTATCATATATTATTTTGATTGTTTTGTTTCTTTTCTCCTTTGGATATAAATTTATGTTGCTTTCCGAACTAATTATGAAAATGACTGGTTCCAATACTAGAGCTATATTTTTTTTCCTTTTCTCCGCGATAAACATTCATAGACTATGGGTTATTTTTGTCTAACACTGGCTTGGGAAATCGTTTCCTTCTGATAATCAATGTAGCTTAGGATTTATCTTTGTTTATAGAGTCAAATTATAAGTATACTAATTCAATAAGTTGAAACCAGGAGAATATCTTTAGACAAAAAGAAAGAAAAGATGAAAGGTTTGTTTTAAAAGAAATTTTAGCAATCAATTGCATATATTAATATTTTACGTGATGCGATAACTTTTAAGAAAATGGACAGAAAGAGTACTTTCATTCAATAACTTGTATACGGGTTCATAATTTAATACGTATTTGTAGAAAAGATTACTACAATTGTAGTTTCTCTCAGTTGAACCATACAAACTATGCTCCATTCGTCTCTGAATTTAGTGTTACACGGTTTTGCAAAAATCTATGAATTTTTAGCCCAGTTTGTTTAAGTTTATCGATCAATTTAATTGGTTGTTTCTCATCTGATGAGCTGATTGAATCACCTTATGCCCCTGTTTTATTACCCCAAAAACAGATGACAAAGTGGGGTAAAAGCTATATTAACAAATTTATAGCTTTTTTTTTTCCTGTCTCCGAGCCTAAGATCGTGGCCAGTGGCGAAGCTAGAAAATTCTCTAAGGGTGTTCAGACTTGAAAGGAGTAAAAATATTTCCTGACAAAGGGTGTTCAATATATGTTACATACATCTAAAATCTAATATTTTACTTATATTTTTCTTCTCTTTCACTATGCAACAAATAGGCATGAGCAACTAATAGGGTTAATGCTCCTTTTTTCATGGACCAAACAAGTGAAAAAACTTAAACAGTATTCCTCCGTTCATATAAGTGACTTTTTGATATTTGTATTGGGTGATACCCTTTTTTGCTTGAGCCCGACCGGGTTGGGTCCGGTCCGGGGCAAGTCGGGGCCATCGAACCCGACCTGGATGCAAGGTAGAACGACGGCCACGTCAACAACCGAGGTCGAGTCATTTCGAGACCGTTGCAGAGCTCGATATGAGTCACCACCGAATGGAGAAACACACAAGGTCGGAAGCCGGACTCGTAACGGATAACCAAGCGTCGCCGGATATCTCTCCCAAACGTGATTTTCTCAACCACTTCAGGCCATTAAGGCGTAATTACAGGGATCCACGATGTAATTAATTTACTTACCTTATTTTTACCCTTAATCAGAATGTATAAAAGGGGAGAAGACCCCATAAAGAGTGGATCGGAAACCATTACACTACGGGACCATCTCTCTCAATTCTTGTACGCTATCAAGCACAATTGTTCTAAGCAATATTATATTCTGCGATTATTTACTTTAGCAGCAATTGTTGAGTCTTTATCTTTTATTTTCCTCAATCCAAACCTTTTGTATCTTTTAGTTCACGGATCCTTAAAACCCCATATAAATTCAATTGTTATCCGGATTCCAGGGTAAATAGTTTGGCGCCCACCGTGGGGCTAAGGATATTAGTGAGCTCTTTGATACTCTTTCTTGACGCATCACAGTACACTGGTTCTTTGCAAAAGAGTCCATCTTACATTCAAATTACCAACTCATAGAATGGCACAATCAATCAACAACGAACTTGAACAGCAGACAGGAAACAATGGAATGCCCGGGTTCGAAAACCCGATAGATGCCGATTCCCGGATGGCGCTCAACACTGATCAGGCCTCCGGATCATCACATAGCGTCCGGGGAGAGGACGATTCGAGGGCCCAGGCAGTCGGCGAAGAGACTATCAACCTTAAAATGATTTTTGACATGCTGCAAGCCCAGCAATCGGCTATAGCTCAGCTCCAGAGCCGGGTCCAGGAGCCTGTCAGGTCCGAGGAGGCTCCCCGTGCAGCTGCAATCATCAATCCGACCCCAGTACAGCCGGAACGGGGTGGGCCGGATGCTGATTC